TAGCTTTACCTTCAAGAGGTAAAAAGTAACATGCAGTAACTTCATTTTTAGCTGAGGGGAGCAAATGAGAATGTATAGCTTTGATGTGAAATAACTTACATTTTTAAAAATACAATAAAATCAGTGCTGGAACCAGGAAGGATCTCAGTACACAAAATCCACCTTCTTGTTTTAAAACCAGCAATACCTCATCCACTTCCTCAGGAGAGTTGGGATGTGTCTTATATTAACTACAACAGGTAATAGTCCCCTGTAACAGAATGATTCTTCATTCTGTTCTTCACCCAACATTTTAACAGGAGGATCAAGGGCATAAGGATGGCAAGAATTTAATAAGGATTGGATTCCTTTTTTATTGAGATTATGCAAGTCTGACGAAGTATGTAAATGTCTTCTGGACAAGACAAGAAACTCTAGACTTCCTAGAAGGCTCAATAAAGTTTTACAGCTCCATGGCAATTTGGTCAATATTGTTATTAATCCATCTTTCCTGCAGTAAAAGCAGAGCCTATAAAACAGCTGAAGAAAAGCTGCACCTGTTTGGGGAAAATCCCAAGTACAAGTATAGGCTGGGTGGAGAATGGATTGATAACAGCCCTGAGGAGAAACACTTGGAGGTGTTGGTTGATGACAAGATCAACATGAGCCAGCAATGTGTGCTTGCAGCCCAGAAAGTCAACTGTTTCCAGGGCTGCATCAAAGGAAGCGTGGCCAGCAGGTCACAGAGGTTGATTCTTTCTCTACTCCACTCTTGTGAGACCCCACCTGCAGTGTTGTGTCCAGTTCTGGGGCCCCCAGCATAAGAAGGACATGGAGGTTTTCCTGGTTTGAGCCAGAATGAAGCCAATATTCCTTTTACTGATTTTTATTTTTTTTTTTTCTCCTTCAATAAGCTTTCTTTTAACTAGTAGCAGAGTGTTCCAACTGGCTCAAACCAGGACAGAGGTGTTGGAGCAAGTCCAGAGGAGGTCCATGAAGATGATCGCATGGCTGCAGCACCTCTCCTAAGAAGACAGGCTGCGAGAGTTGAGGTTGTTTAGCCTGGAGAAGAGAAGGCTCTGGGGAGAGCTGACAGCAACCTTCCAGTACTTGAAGGTGCCTACAGGATCTCTGGGGAGGGGCTTTTTATAAGGCTTGTACCAAGAGGACTAGGGGTAATGGCATTAAACTGGAAAAGGGGAGATTTAGGTTGGACATTAGGAAGAAATTCTTCAGTGTGAGGGTGATGAGACACTGGAACAGATTGCCCAGGGAAGTTATGTAAGTGTTCAAGGTCATGTTGGGTGGGGCTCTGAGTAACCTGGTCTAGTCGGAGGTGTTCCAGCCCATGCAGGGGGGTCAGAACTAGGTGATCTTTAGTCCCTTACAACCCAAACCATTCTATGATTCTATGATATTACTCTGTTTTTCTGATACAAAGACCTGTAGCATCATACACCATAATAGCTTGTATTTTTATTTCACAGATATGATTTACTGCTGACAAAATACCACCCTAAAGGTTGGAATATTGCTCCGTTTAACCCTCTTTACAGGAAATAAGGTTCGTGGTTCTTGTTTTTTAACGGATTTGTGAAGCTTGTACTGTACCCTTCACTTTAGGGGAGAAAAAAAAAAAAAAAAGCTGTTTGGAACAATGTCTCTTTTTACAAATTATCAGGTTTTGTTTTTTCAAGTTTATAAATGTCACAATGATCTAAACAGAAAATGCACTTTATACTGATAACAAAAATACCTAGCAAGTCAAGTGCCAGTAAATTTAACTTTTGCTTCCTTGTCCTACAATCTCTGTAACATGGTTGAAACATGAGACTATTGATTACTACTGTAGTCTGCAAAAGAATGCAATACATTTAAATGTTTAACTCATTGAGTTTCCATCTTGCCACCAATTTTCTAACTATTTAAATATGTCAGTATGGTTATTTTTGCATCAAAGGCCGGTGATATCCAAAGCCTTATGAAAAGTTTATGTCTACTCTCTTTTTAATTTAAGGAAAAACTTGACAGATTAATATTTTTTCAGGCACAGCAATATTAATTTAGTTAATTCTAATTTATGCAGCACGTGTCTGATTTTCCAGTTTAAATGTCATACCTTGATCAACCCATTCGTTTTGCCTGTATTCTGCTAAGATGCCAGATTTCACATAATGGGCATGTCATTTGCATAACAGTGAACATTATATTCATTCCACAGAAAACTGTAGCAAATATTCTATATTCCAAATTATTTCTAAAGTAAAGTTATTCTGGATTTGTTAAACTGATTATGTGAAGAAAAAATGACTGATGATTTGAAGATAAAATTCAGTGTATAAACGTTGTCATCTATGACATTTCACTACGCTAAAATCATAAAGGCCTGCCAGATTTCATTGCATTCATAATTAGAATCATTACATTGTAATTCAGGATGTGTTTTTCGTAAAGATGAAGAGAATGAGTTTTAATACAGCTAAAGCCAGGTAAACCCAACAAGCCTACCTATGCAAGACAGATGTCAGTTCAGATAAAGATTTATTTTCCTTTTCATAATGCAATTATAAACCAAAATTGACAACTGAAAGAAAAAAAAAATCATAGAATCATTTAGGTTGGACAAGACCTTTAAGACCATCAAGTCCAACCTTAAACCTTACTCTACCATTTTCATGCCTAAACCATATTCCAAAGCACCACCCTTAGATGATTTTTAAACACATCCAGTGATGGTGACCCAACCACCTCAGGGCAGCCTGAAAACTATTTCAGAAGAAAAATAAACAACTCCTCACGTCCAGCCTAAACCTCCTGTGGTGTAGCTTTAGGCCATTTCCTCATGTCCTATCACTCCTTACTTGTGAGAAGACGCCAGAACCTACCTCTCTACAATGTCTTTTCAGGTAGTTGTACAGATAAGGTCTCCCCTCAGCCTCCTTGTCTTTAGACTAAGTAGCCCCAGTTCCCTAAGCCACTCTTTATAAGACTTCTTTTCTAAGTCTTTCAGCAGCCTAGTTGCTCTTCTCTGCACCTGCTCTAGTACTTCGATGTCCTTCCTGTATTGAGGTGCCCAAAACTGGACACAGTATTTGAGGTGTGGCCTCACCAATGCCAAGTACAGAGGGACGATCACATCCCTGGTCCCGCTTGCCACGCTATTTCTAATATAAGCCTTCTTGGCCACCTGGGCACACTGATGGCTCATATTCAGCCACCTGTCAACCAGCAATCTGAGTTTACCCATCATAAACATAAAAAAAACCTTATTTACTGTGAGAGTGACAGAGCACTGGAACAGGCTGCCCAGAGAGGTTGTGGAGTCTCCTTCACTGGAGACATTCCAAACCTGCCTGGATGCATTTCTGTGTGATGTGCTCTAGTTGATCCTGCTCTGGTAGGGGGGTTAGACTACATGATCTTTCAAGGTCCCTTCCAACCCCCAAGATTCTGTGATTCTGTCCCTTTCTGCCAGGCAGCTTTCCAGCCACTCTTCCCCCAGCCTGTAGCGTTGCATAGGGTTGTGGCCCAAGCGCAGGGCCCGGCACTTGGCCTTGCTGAAGCTCATACAATTTGCCTCAGCCCATTAATCCAATCTGTCTAAGTCTCTCAGTAGAGTCTCCCTACCCTCAAGCAGACCAACACTCCCACCCAGCTTGGTGTCACCTGCAAACTTACTGAGGGTGCACCCAATCCCCTCATTGAGGTCATTGAGGAAGATGTAAAACAGAAGTGGTCCCAACACTGAGCCCTGAGGAACCCCACTTGTGACCGGCCGCCTGCAGGATTTAACTCCATTAATCACCACTGTCGGGGCCTGCCCTTCTAGCCAGTGTTTTATCCAACAAAGAGCATGCCCATCCAAGCCAGGAGCAGCCAGTTTTTCATGAGAATGCTGTGGGAGACAGTGTCAAAGGCTTTACAAAAGTCCAAACAGACAACATCTACAGCCTTTTCCTCATCCACCAGGCAGGTACACATATTACTATACTACAAAGAATTCAAACTTCAGAAGATGCTTACCTAAAGCAAGAGTAGAACTGTTTTTAAAAATGAGCTTTAACTCATAATTATACCATCTTAATTCCATGGCACATTAAAGTTATCGGGATAAGATCACTCAACAAATCACCCAGAAATGGCAAAAAACATTTCATTAGTTACTATGCAAGAGTTTAGGCAAAACATTCAAACTATAACATCCCTCTATCAGGCAATCTGTATTTGTAACTAATATTTTGACATGTAATTAAAATATGTAAACACAAAAGGAAAGCAAATAGAGAAGTTTCTCCAAAAGACAATAAAACCTATATAGGAACCTTCAACACAGTCTCACACACAACTTCCTCATCCTGAGGTCTTATGTGTCTTATTTTTCTTATAATCATAATATTTCTAGATTACAGCAGTTGATATAAACTGGGACCTGACAAGATATGATATCGTATAACAGAAAGACTCCAAAATAATGTCCCAGCATGGCCTTCCTAGTTTGCCCTCAGAGAGCTCCAGTATTTGCAAACCAGTTGACAAAGAATGTCTAACTGTGTGCAGCTGGAACTCATACTGAAACCTATGTTGTCAATTCATTTGCCCCATGTTACCTTGGTATATACTGCAGGATGGCCAAATAATAGCAGGAAAATAAAATGAGTAAACTGTACAGACAGAAAACTGTAAGGAAAAATAGGCTTTGTTTTCCAGTATGGTTTAGGCAAACACCTCTTTCCAATTCCTCTCATGCTTGTGGATTAAAAAAATGCTAAATCATAACTGCTTTAATCCAAAATGTTTCTGAACAGAGAAACAGTAGTTGTTTTAATGTTCTGTTATTGCAGGTTACACTTTTGGAATGCTGTCAAATTATTTCACACCTAGTGATTTTGCTTCACTGGACATCTGATACTTGCATGCATCATTTGGTATTTTTCAGCAGTCCTTGTCTATAACAAAAGCAGGACTGTAGCAACAGAGTAACTTTCATATGGAGCCTTAAAATTAAAAAAAAAAAAACTTACCATGTTCCACCCTGGATAGAGGTAGTCTGTCCCAACAAATTCAAAATAGTGAGCAAAACCTTCTTTCAACCACACATCCTCCCACCAAACTGGAGTCACAAGGTCACCAAACCACTGCAAAGAATGTTCAAATAAACAGCCTTTAGGAAACTATGTCTGTATACATTTCATTTATAAAGAACACAATCTTCATATGCTTAAACAGAAACAGTAGTATATACACTACTCACTGAAACTCATTAACTGTTTTTGTCATGTAGCAATGAATTAAGCCTTAACAGGATGCAAAAGTTATTGAAGTTAAACATTAGAAAAAAAGCATGCAGGGAAGAAGAATTGAGGACAGTATTCAGTGTCCACCTTAGTTACCTAAAGTAGATGCTCCCCTAGTTTTGAGGGATTAACACGCACAAAGGACAGAAAAGGGCTTCTAATTCGAGTAGTCTGAATCATTACCTGGAAACCTCACTAGTGTGAACCTTGAAAAACTGGGAACACATTCTCCATACCCCAGACCTAAATTTTAGCATCTCTTTCTCTACAGTGTCTGCCTACCAAGATTTACACTACTACATATGCTCCAGTCACTAGCTGTTTTCCTAAGGAAAGCAGTTTTACACAACTGCACCATCTCTCTATGGGTAGGACTCAGATGCCTAAAAGCAGGTAGCTGATGCCACTTAAAGAACATCCTAGCACATCCAAGATACTCACACAGGCCCAAGATATTTCATACAGTGCTTACATGAGATCTTCAGCCTTCTCAAACAGCAACTAGACGCAGAGGATATCTAAAATGTCAGGGGCCACCTATGCTTAGGCAAAGGAATCCTACCTGAGCTGGCTGCCTTTCCTGTTCTCCCCCAGGTCTCTCTTAATTCCCCACTGAATTCAATCTAATAGAACCATGGAGTGGTCAGGGTTGGAAGGGACCTCTGAAGATCACCTAGTCCAACCCCCTCAGTTAGAGCAGGATAACCTACAGTAGATCACACAGGAAGAAGTCCAGATGGGTTTTGAATATCTTAATACAGAAAGAAAGACAGACACCTCAAAGATAATTAAACTCCTCGTTTCATGTACTTGAAAGTAAATAAAGATCAACAGCTGAAAATAAGGACCTAAACTGAGGACAAGGCAAGAACATGGCTGTTAGATACTCTGTAGAGTAGCCAGCAACAGCCACTAACCTGTCACGGTACAGGACATGGGGGCCTCAGAGGGATTTTACACAGAGTTAGGATGGCTATTGGAAGAGAACAAAAATTCAAAGGAAATCAGGTGTCATGAATGCTTCTGCTAATGGATGACCCTGTTTAAATAGCCCTGTGCAACCTGGATCATCAGAACACCAGTGGTAAGATCAGAAACACGTTCACTTTTATGAAAACATAATTCATGCTCTGCAGCATCTTTTTTGCCAAACAAATACCAAAACTTTGTTTCAGTAAAATTCTCTGTAAGTTTTACTCTTTAATATTTTTACAAATGAGATTAATTCATAAAAAACAGAGACCATTTTGAGCTTTCATGGAGTCATAAGCTCAGAAAGGGAGCAGCACATCAGTATTCCAGAGGGAGAGACTCATGTCAGAGCAGAGGAGCTGCTGTTGACACTGTAATGAGAGTGAAGAACATCTGAAAGTAGAGTTAGCCAGTGGATGGTTTGCTTTCATGATAGGTGGCTTATTTAAGGCTTTGTCTGGGACCTGAATGAAGGGTCTCACTTCTGCGCATGTCTCTGTGGAGTGAGAATAGCACCAAGGAAGGACAAAGGCTGCAATGAGGATCCATAGTGAAATGAACACACGGGCTCTGAAGAACAGACTACAAAAACTGAGATTACCAGATTGCAGCACAATGTTCAGTAAATAGGATTTGAGGAAAAAAATGAAGTGAAACATGACAATGAATGTCACTGACAACCAACTTAACAATGTAAGGAGAAAATATGAGACTGATAAAAGCCATATTCATACACTAAGTGACTCTGAACTTAATAGATCTTAAACTAATTAAAGGCTACCTATAAACTAACTCTTTACAGGATCAACAGAGACAGATCCTGATCTTAAGAACATTTAACTGAAAAGACAAACACTGTAAATGCTTCAAATGCATAATGCAATTCTCATAATTTGAACAGTCAGAGCAGCATACCACTAAAGGAATATGAAAGTTATATTTATACTAGAATAGGTTGATTAAATTATTTCTAATGACACACAGACTAAACACAATAGCACAGAGCTTATTTCTTTACTTACAAGAGGACAGCAAAACAAATAGGAAACTAGTTATTATGGTATAATTATGTGTACTCCTGTAACTCAAAAGAATTAATAAGAATAATTTATGTCACAAAAGAGAACTTCTTATACTTGTGAGTTTTTTGGGTTTATTTATTAATTATACAATTAAAAGTACTAATTTAATTATCTACCTAAAGGAAGAAGTATTTTACATTAAACCACTATGTGATACCAAAATTAAAATGTAGAGAGTTTGCTTAACTAGTCTTGAATAGTTTCAGTGTAGTTACAAATGTCAGAGAGAGAGAGCAGGCCCAGAGACCACACTTAATGAAGCCAGATCTTCCTATTATTTTCCTAGGTGTTACATGTCTGAAAGGAAAACGTTAAGCAAAGCACTTAATTTATCTAAGCAGTGGTTTATTCATTTGTTTGTTTGTTTAACTATAAACACTACTTCTTTTCATTTTGGAGAAGAAAAATTAATTGAAATGTATTGATTACATACATTTCTTGTCTGCCTCAGGTATATTCAGCATGACATGCAGAAGGCACTTACTTTACAGCCACACTGAGAATAAACTCTTTACAATATGCTTTCTTTACAATTTTTTTTTAAAAAAACACATTGATTTAGGCATTTTTAATTTTCCTTCTGCTTTCATGCCTCTTTAGGTCAATCTGTTACACCAAGTTTTGTGCTCAGGTGGGAAAACTATCACAAAAAATCAGTTATTCAAATTCAAATGAGAATCAAATTAACAAACTTGCAAGTTACTGATGTGGTAATTGCCCACATCTGAAGTATTAAATGCTTCAGAGGCAGAGGAAATTATTAAAGCAGTGCAAAGTAGAAGTAATGGAATTACATCAGAAAAATGAAGATTTGGGGGCTATGAAAAAGTTACTGATTTTTGGATTAGCTAAGAAGTTAATCCAAAGGTTTTAAGTGAAGCAGCATAACCCTGTAATCAGGAGCACTGAACCCAGCCCTACAAAAAGCACCACACGGAAGCATCTAACACTAACACAAGCTGGGATTTGATGACCTAATATGTGTTTTCCACAACTGATTCCTAAGACGCTGTAATTTTTCTAGGTGAACAGTGTGCTACTCTATTGCACTGCACAATAAAGAGCATAAAACAAATTCAGCTGATCGCATTGAGAACAAACCAGTAATAACTTTCAATAAAAATTTAATATTGTAGTTGAGGAGTTCATATTCATCGTCAGATTTAATGTGAAACATGAATATGAACCAAACATCATTATTTCCAGGTTCACCTACCAGAACTCCATTACAAAGGCTCTTTTTTATATGGCACTTTTTATTTGTAGAAAGTGTTAAGAATTTGCATTGCCTTTTAAAGAATACTGTGTAAAGTCACAGATGTAAGCCATGCTGATTACACAGTGGGATTTCATTCATTTCAACCTGAAGGCTATGATTATGCCTCTTATGAGAGCAAGAAAGGGTTTCCTGCCCCTGTGGCAAATTTCTTCAATAATATTTGCATTCAACTCACTATTACTAAACACTCATAATGTGTTTAGTTTGAGATAAGAAGATGGAAGAAATGAAAAATACATTGTAATATGAGTTTATTATGAAGTTTTTTTACTGATACCAGTTTCTGTACACATAAAAGACTCAATTATCCACCCTTAGTGAACAGAGGGACAAACCCAAATTTTAAAAAAGTCACAAGAACAAGAAAATGGAAGTATGTGTATATGTGGAAGAAGAAGTTGACTACCAAATTGATTTCAACCAAAACATTTTTTGATATGAACATGAAACTCAGCATGAATCTCCCATAGTTCTGCAATAAATAATTTTCCACAATTATCAATGTGTGTAGTCTATACACCAACACAATGAAACACAAACATATACAATATAATCATACAGAAAGTAGTGAAGTTGTTAATTGCTAATAATTTTCTCTTCCATCTCCATTTTAAGTCTTCCCAGTTTCTGCACTGGAGTGGTGCATTACAGATCTCCATATTATTTGGACTCCAGTTACAATAAAAGTTGCAGTTTTCTGTGTGAACAACACAAATTAATTTTCAGTTTTGAAAATAAATGTGTGGTTTCTGAAATTAATATAAAATATCTGAACACCTTTAATACCTGGTGACAAAGCTCATGTACAATGACCATAGTGACATCCAGTAGGTATGATATAGAAGAAATACTTGGATCTAGCAGTATCCTTTGCTCCACAAAAACGCTCAGACCCCAGTTCTCCATAGCAGCATATGGATGCTTAGGCACAGCTAACAGATCTAGAAATAAAAAAGATATATGTTAACTCTTTGTAGGAGCTACTGTGCTGAAGAGCTATTGTAGATTAAGGCCACAAATTACCATTAAAAGTATTTTAAATTGCATATATGTTAAAAAAAAAAAAAAAAAACCCAAAACTTAATTTCAGCTCTCAGCTCTCTAGTAATGTTATTTACAAAACATTAAGAAAGTAGTCATTTATCTTATGCCACTATCTGGTTCACACATAATTACCACATTGTTGCTGTAACACAGTACTTAGTATTTCTAACTGAAGTTTTCTATACAAAATCCAGCTTATTTACAATGCCTCATTGATTTATTTCTGGGTTGTACACTTCTTCTCATGTTCACTGTACCATATCAATGTAGTGCACAGACTTTTACCACAAATACTTTTTAGCTTTCACTAAAGTGACTCCTTTATGAACATCTTACACATCAAACTATACGTAAGGACTGACGTTAAGGGGACCACTGAAGAAATACTGATTCATAACAACCAGAAAGATGGCAAACTGTTCAGAATGACCAGTTCTTACAAAACAAAGCATCTTTCAGTGTGCACTATTGCCAGCATGCATCCTCTGAGAGCAGGACTGCTGACAACCATCTCTCAGCCCCACAGACTGGAAAAATAGCCTCATACACAACTTCAGGAGTATCACTTCAGTTTTGTACTCAGTAAATAACAAAATACTAGGAAGATGGGAAGATTCTTTATGAAGAAAAAAAAAATTAAAGTTAAATTAAATTAAAAAATAAAAAGAGTAGGGAATTTCTCTCAGTAGCAAGAGGTTGAACAAGATAATATTACAATGTCTACCCATGTGATAGAAATACCGTACTGCAGAAGATGAAAAGGAACTAAAATTGACTCTCAGTCTGGAAATAAATCTAAAATTACAGTAAATTGGCATAGGGAATAAATCAATATACAGTGCTGCTTCATAACAAAACATCTGAAAGAGCTCAGAAACAATTCATATGTCTATGAGAAATCCAGTGCAATCTGTGTACACATCAGCCAGAATTTTAGAAGCTACACTGTCACATCAGCATGGTGCTCCCTCTAGTCAATTTAATTAGCCTGGCTTCCTAATTAATTAGCTCAGCTGCACACTTCTTTCTTTTCACTGTATTACTTCTGGTTCCAAAGCTAATTTACTTGCATTTAATACAAGTATATCTAGGTGGTACTTCAGTGGGTGGGATCAAAAGTCTCTGGATTGACTTCCTAACTGGAAGAAAAAAAATTCTGGCCTCCTCATTCAAAATAGTACTCTAAATTATATCACAGCACTGACATATCTCTTAAGTTTATCAACTTTGACTTGCTGATACGTGTGGTGGAATTGGCTTGGAGAAGAACCTTACAACAGGAGCTCTACTTTAGGATCCACAGGAAGATGCGACTGAAGCATCAGGAATGGAGAACCTCAATACATTCCAGCACTCACAAAAAAGGACCTGCTGCAAGAAGCATAAAACTACCAGCCTTTGGTGGAATCTAGTGGAAGCACAGAGGGTCTATCTTCCAAATACAAGCAAACTGAAAATATCCAAATTGCAGAGACATACTGCAAATAGTAAAGAATAAATATTTTATATGAAGGCAGACACTAGAACAACAGCCCAATTAAAGAAAATAAAGCAAAAATCATGGTTTTCAAGATTAGACATGCAAGTAAATTCAAACTTACAAGCTTTCCTTTTTTTTTTTTTCAGTTGGATCACAAACCATGCTGATTTCTTTACAATAACTGCAATTTGTTATAAATGACATGCAAAATTAAATACTCTTCTTGTGTCTGCTACACAAAGAAGGGATAAGGATGAAAAAAAAAAAAATCAGACACAAAGGCTACTGGGTAAAATAATTGAAGTTAATGGCAAATCTTCATTAACAATAAACACAGATCTCTCCCATTCTCAACTCTGTCAAGAAAGCTGTAACTTCTCCTACACCAGTTAAACTTCCTTCCAAAAGGAATCTTCAGACTCTGTTTTTATATACACCAATTAAGTTTTCAACAATTGCCCTCAAATACGTAAAGCAACACCGAAGTAGAAGTGGCACCAAAGTAAAACCAGTTCCCTATTTTTAAATGATTATTTTATTTCCTTTCTCTCTTTTGGGTTCAACTGTAGTTTTTGTTCTTTCTTACCAGTCATAATGGACAGATTCTGTCAGTGTCAGCCAGTAATAAACTACAATAACTCTGTAGAACTGGGAAACTAGAGTGAGGCCTCATACTAAACACCTTTACAGGCTAATTACAGACTGTCTTTCAATATTTGTGACATTTGTATTGGTCTGCTAATTTAGACCAATACTTTCTAGCACTGACATATTAATAAAACCTAATCTGATGGACAGTTAACTGCCTTGCATGTAGACACTGCAAAGAGATATTCTACATCATTTTCATCCAAAACAGCCCAGTTGCTCTGTAAGTCTGGAAATGCCTCTTACGTATCAGCTAAGCTTAAATGGCTTTTCTGAGCAAACAGAACAAAATACAACAGATATTCCTGTTGGTTTCCCAAATGCTAATCCTTCCAGGTGACATGGGTCACAGAATCACTGAATGGTTTGGATTGGAAGGGACATTAAAGATTCCAGACCCCCTGCCATGGGCAGGGACAACTCCCACTAGATCATGTTGCTCAAAGCCCCACCCAACCAGCCTTCAATACATGCTGGGAGGTGGTGGCATCCACAACTTCTCTGGGCAACTTGATCTAGTATCTTGCCACCCTCACACTAAAGGATTTCTTCCTAATGTCTAACATAAGTCTTCCCTCTTCCAGTTTAAAGCCAGTACTCCTTGTCCTATCACTATGAGCCCTTCTAAAAAGTCCCTCCCCAGATTTCCTGTAGGCACCTTCAAATACTGGAAGGTTGCTGTCAGCTCTCCCCAGAGCTTTCTCTTCTCCAGGCTGAACAACCCCAACTCTCTCAGCCTGTCTTCTTAGGAGAGGTGCTGCATGCATCTGACCATCTTCATGGGCCTCTTCTGGACTCACTCCAACAGCTCTATGGCCTTATTGTGGGGACTCCAGAATTGGGCACAGTACTCCAGGTGGGGTCTGCAGAGAATGGAATAGAAGGGGAGAATCACCTCCCTTGACCTGCTGGCCACACTTCTGATGCAGCCCAGGACACGGTTGGCTTTCTGGGCTGCAAGCACACATTGCTGGCTCATGCTAACCTTCTTATCAACCAGCACAACCAAGTTCTTCTCCTCAGGGCTGTTCTCAATCCATTCTCCACCCAATCTGTATTTGTGCTTGGGATTTCCCCAACCCTTGTGCAGGACCTTGCATTTGGCCTTGCTGAGATTAATGACATAAGCATAACAAAAATGTTGATTTAATTAAGAAACACACTACAAAGTATGAACACCTTCCTACCTTTTCCTAGTGCAGGATCTGATGGACTGCACTTCAATGCCAAAAAAGAGACTTTCTCAGTCTCCAGTGACTGATGGAATGGACCCTGAACATAAATATTATCACAAAATGAGGAATCTTTCACTTCTCATTGTCCATATCTAAACTCTTAACTTCCAAATCTTGGTGTTTAGACTAAATGCAATTCTTTAGTCATTGTTCTTGACTTCATCACAAATTTCTGCTACCTTTAAATAAAATTCCAAACACGCCTGGTTTTCTGGTAAAAGACACAATAATCTAAATCTTTCCCTGGGGAGTCATAAACATTTTATTTCAGAGGAACAATGTTTGATGTTCAAGTCTCAACATGAGAATTTGTATTTCCCTCTGTTTATCAGACCATCAGAGCATTGAGAAAGGTATCCTGTGCTCCTGGAAGCAACATCTGTTAAGATTTTAGTATAACTTTTAAGGAGCGAGGTACAAAAGGAAAGGTGGTGATGCAAATATCATTCACACATATTGCTGTTCAAAAATGCTCTCTGCACTAACTGTGAAATGTGAACTACTGAATATATAACAGTTTGTGTGCATGCTGCATCCAGTTACTCTGCACACTAATTAAATTCTTTGCAAAGCACTTGTGAATGTTTGATTATGTGGATATTGCTGGGGAAATAGAAATGTGTGTTATTGCTTGCAGAGAATAATATCCTCATACATCATAAAACTGTTACTTGAGATTTCCTGATACAGCAGTGCAGAGTCCTGTGTACTGCTGAAATAATAGAAGGTTTCCACCTCTTGGCCTTCACAGAGACTAAATTCATGACCAAGAAGTAAAAACTATACAGCTATAATAAAATCACCAGAAAAGCCATAAGAACAAAAACGTGTTGGAACTTCACACTTACATACTACACTTGTACAATTATTTGAATGCATTCAAAATATTAGCATAGCATTTGCATGTTTTTAGCATCTATTCCTGTGTGAATCTCATGAAAAACATTTCAAGTTACAAAAAATTATGCATTGCTTAAAAGCTTATTTCTTTTCTAAATGTGTAATTAAGGCATCAAAACTATGTGAGCTTACATAAAAATATAATTATCTAACATTATTAGCAAGTTATTATCATTGTGTGAAAATAGAAATTAGCAATTTAACTCCTAAATTGGTCAGAAAGAGAATCAACATTCAATGGTGGGGATTTTTTAATCTATGAATTTATTATCTGTGTAATTTGAACAAATTATATTGTTTTTCTTTTTCTCCTACTCAGTTACAGCATTTTCTAGAAACTCTTAAAAACCATTGAATTCTCCAATCCACGCAACTGGGATCATTCTGCATTAAACAAGAGCAGGAATAGAACTGAATGGGATTAAATGCAAAATAGGATCCAACTCTCTCATGCAGAGTATCCTGAAGGTGGATGTCCTCTTCCCCTCTTTTATCATCCTACTCTTTTACAATGATCAAAGCACCTTTCTCCCACAATCATTCCACCTTGTTTGAAATCCACCTCGGTTTGAAGTCTGATGGGGATACTACTATAACAGATACTCATCCCTACTATACATATGAGTGTGTGCAT